GGGGTAGATTAGGAGGGGGGAGGGAGACTATGGAGGAGGAGGGAGGGAGACTGATAAGGAGGAGGAGGGGGGAGGGAGACTATGGCAGAGAAAGGGAGATTGATGTGAAGATAGGGGAAGCTATGGCGGATGAAGGAGAGAGGTAGAGTACGTGGAAGGAGGTTTACTGATGAGGGACACTGTGGATGGAGGGTGGCTGATGTGGAGGGAGGAGATGGCGGAGGAAGGAGAAAGGGAGACTATGTGGAGGGAGGGAGACTGACGGAGGACGAGGGAGGAGAGAGGGAACCACTATAGCGGATCAAGGAGGTGAAAGAAGGAGAGCTATGGCGGAGCACGAAGAAGATGAGGACAAAGTAGTAGTAGTAGTAGTAGTAGTAGTAGTAGTAGTAGTAGAAGAAGAAGAAGAAGAAGAAGAAGAAGAAGAAGAAGAAGAGACGAAAGAAGAATGAAAAGAAGAAAACGAAGAACTGAAGAGAGTAAGAAGAGGAGGAAGAAGAAAATGACGATGGCGTGGATGGAGGGCCACAATTATGGTGTGGCTGGAGGGCGATGACGATGGCCCGGCACGAGGGTGGCAGGGCAATGACGACGATGGCAAGGACGACCACGGCACGGCGACGATGGCGAAGACAACGACGGCAAGGTGACGACAAACTAGCGCGGGGAGTAGTCCGGCGGAGGGCGCAGAGCCGTGCGAGAAGTCCCAAAATTTGAATTCAAAATCTTGGGACTTCGGCGTCGTCGATCAATGCAGATCGACGGCCTAGGCGGGAAAAATAAAAAACATGAAACGGGGCCTACCGGACCCCGAAAAAAATCCCGGCCACCGCCAAATTTTTTTTTGCCCTCTGGGCCATAGGCCCCCAGCGCCAAAAAAAAAAATCGGCGGTTTTTGGGGGCGGCGCTGAGGGGGCCCGGGTGGCTGGCCGGGGGGGTCGCACGGCTGGGCACCCCGAGCGCCCTGGGGTGGCCCGGGCGCCCCGGGTGGAAAGCTAGGCGGTCACGCTTTTTTTTTTTTTTTTTTAAGCAATAAGAATCTATCAAATATCTTTAGCAGAGAGCTCGAGGAACTGACAGAGGTCATTGATAAGGACTGGATCCTTCCACAACAGATCACAGAACTCATATCATGATGAGGGTTGGATCATTTCGAGCATCTCTGGGCATGGAGCACATCTACTCTTTGTTCCAAAGAAGTCAGGTGAGTTCTGAATGAATGTGCAATGTGCATTGACTATCGCGGGCTGAATTTGATCACTAGCGAGAACGTGGAGCCCCCAGCTTGCATTAAACGACGTTTTGGATCAAGTGCAGCGGTGCAAATGCTTACTCGAAGATTGAACTCAAATCCGGTTACCACCAAATAGAGACCAATCCTGAAGGTCATCGACACAAAGCAACTTTTAAAACCAGGTACAGACCAACGAGCCTAGCTCAGTTGGTACACCCATGAGTTGTTGCACTACAGGCTCAAGTTCGAATCCCAACGCTAGTAGATGAGCAGAATTCCGAATTACCTGGGGATGTACAGCTCAATGAAAAGTTTGAGAATCTGTTCGATTTCAGATAGGTGATCATAGGTGCCAGTCGTTCTATTCTTTTTTAAAAGAACCGAAGATAGGCTATATCTCAAGGCCATCACCCTCTATTTAAAACACACACTCACACACAAAAAAAAGAAACAGGTAGGGACAGCCAGAGTTCCTAGTTTATGCCATTTGCGAACTTTGCACTAACTAATGCTCCTGCTACTTTCCGATGTGCCATGAACTCAGCGGGAAACCAAAAAAAAAGTTGCAGCCGCTTCTCATGGACTGCCTGGACCGGTTTGTCGTGGTCTACCTAGATGGCATACCGGTTTTCGGTTAATCCGTGGGCGAGTACGTGGAACATCTTCGGCCACTGTTGGGACGATAAGTGCCTGAGCATAAATGGCAGGCCAACCGTGCAAAATCGGAATTTGCATCGACGGAGGTTGTATGCGTAGGGCACCTTATTTCTCGGGAAGGTTTTTTGTCCCCCGAAGGGGGGGCCAAAGTGGGTGCATATATGGAGGAACATATGATCATTCAGGGAACAACCACTCCCCACATATGTGGCAAGAACATATATGATCTCATTCATGGGACTTGCATCATATTATAGGAAGTGTCTGTGGCCAATTTTGCTGTGATCGCAAGCCCTTCGATCGTTCTGACAGGAAGGAATGTGCCATTCGTTCAGTCCAAATCTTGGTATGCATTGTTTCCAAGCTTTGAAGAAAGCCTGGGCAGATCACCGTGCCGGAGTGTCCCTAAAAGATCACCGCCGGTTTTTTTCGTCTTACCTTTTGTCCTTGCCACGGACGCTTTTCTTTTCCCCCACCCCCCAAACATCACTTTAGTTTCTGGCCTTATGGTTATGCATGCAAGAAACCCAGTTCATTCCGTTTTATTTCTCATTTAACTGCATTGCACACGCTTTTCACATCGTGCAGACAATTTGTCAGTTCTAGTGGAAAGTTTTGACTTAGACGGTTAGACCGCTTTAGTAGAGAAATACCCTATTGACCTTGACTCTAGTTCCCCTCTGTAAGAACTAGACTGGAGAGGTGTAGAAAAAGTGAGAAACTTTTAGGCGCAAGTGAAATACCACTAAAGCGGTACAGCAACGTGCATTCATTGGCGATAAAATCTTTGCAGTGTTTGCACCCATTGTAGCTATAGTCTGGAAAAAGATATTGTAGTTTTGGAGATCATTTGCATGTCAAGCAAAGACTCTTACTGCGTTCATCCATCTATCTGTCTGTCTTTTCATACCTTTTTCCCTCTTACTTTTGTCTGTCAGATTTTCCATCCATGCCGCGTCTCTCTGTGTGCTCCTTCCCCCCCCCTCCCCCCCCCCTTGCCCGTCCCCTCCATCTTTTGCCCCGTCCCTCCCTTCATCTCTGCATCTGTACCTGCAGCCCTCCCTCTGCCTCTCCCCTCCATCTTTCGCCTCGTCCCTCCCTCCATCTCTGCATCTCTGTACCTGCGGCCCTCGTCTATATCCCTCCCCACACGGCCTCCCTCTGTACCTCCTTCCTGCCCTTTGTACCTCCATCTCCAGCTTTTGCGCCTCCATCGCTTCCCCCACCCTTTGCTTTTGTCTCGGTCCCATTCTCTGTTCCTCTCATCAGTCGGTTTCCCATATCCCTTTGTTAGTTCTGCGCTTCTGTACCTCCACTGCCCGTTTGACCCCTGGTTTGACCCTCTCTGCAACCCCCCTCTCTGTTTGTGTCCCTGCATGCCTTCATTATTGGTCTACCTGTCCCGTCCGTCAAGAAATGTATTGCCCATCCCTCGATCGACCATCGACATTGCTTTCCTTTTCACTCTGTTGGTTGCCTCACTTGCAAATAGCTCCCACTTCTGTTTATGCTGTCAATTTCGCACTTATCAATACTCTGTGCGTGCCATAACAAGTCCAATTTCTTTTCTTTTCTCGTGCGAGTGTAATGTTCCGACTGATGTCCTCTCTCGCATGTTTCCCCCCATCTCACCCAACTCCCAAGCACTGCATTTTTTTCACGCCCAACGCCCGGAGAGATGCTCACGCGGACATGGATGGTGGAAGAGGCAAACCTGCTTCGGCATTTGATATCAGAGATCCTCCTATAGACCACATCCAAGAGGAATGTCCAAATTTGCAGGTCCTGGTTTTGTGGCATGTACGCGGGACTCTCTCTTGGGCGTTGTGAATGTAATTTACGGGTTTGCCTGGTGCCGATCTTGATGTTCTTTTAGGCGGCCGGCCGATGGTTCGTTGGAGGAAAGGAGGTGTGTTGCAGAAGTGGTGAGAAGGCCGTGTGGAGTTCTTTGAGACGTAACTTTTTCGCCTTTGAATGACAGGAAGGAAGTAGATTCCGAAACTGAATGTTTTTTTTGCCTTTTGACTGACAGGAAGGAAGAAAACTTTTTCACCTCTGAGAAAACTTTCCCGGGTTCCCCCCTTTAACTGACGGGAAGGAAGGAGCTTTTGAAACGTAACTTTTCCACTTTTGACTGACGGGAAGGAAGCAGTACACCCTTTTCAGGTTCTGGCATTGTTTTGCTTTTTTTTTTGTGGGTTCATATCGCGCATGATGACAAGTCCACCCATAGCAGCAGTTTATTTGCGGTCTGCTTAGTTTTGTCTTTTTGTTCTGCATGCAGGCAAGAAGGGGAGCGCTGGGCGTGGCATCCACCCCGCCACGCGCGTGTTCCAGGCCCTCAGGATTGCAGTGAACGACGAGCTGTGCGCTCTCGAAGATGTCATTCCGGCCGCAGCCAGCTGCCTTGCGATTGGCGGGCGGATTGGTGTGATTTCTTTCCACAGCCTTGAGGATCGGATAGTGAAGCATATATTTCGCGCTGCAGCCCGTCCTGATCACGGACGCCCGAGCGAGGACCTGTTCCAGTACACCGTTGGCAGCTCAGGCTGGCAGCAAAGGAAGGTAGCTGGCGGGGAAGATCTGCTGGCCGGCAAGATCCCGGGCCTGTACAGAGACTGGGTGCTTGAGCCACTGACAAAGTCCCCGATCATCGCCTCGGAGGATGCAAGGAAACAGAACCCGAGAAGTAGAAGTGCAAAACTTCGGGTTGCACAAAAGACTCCATGTCAACCAAAGGAGAGAAATCAAACGGCAGCGCACACTGCACTCAAGATGCGTGCTCCGACTTCCACGGTGTGAGCTCTGCAGTAATGCAAGGGTGGTATCTGGAGGTGAAGATGATGTGAGGTGGAAGTCGAAACCGTGTTGAAAAGAAGAGTTGCTAGTCGCGAAGCATAACGGTTCTCAAGGAGAGGGTTGTCGAAAGTCTTGTGGCATCACAAATTTTCACTGTCCAGAATTCAGATCGAATCGGATGATGTTGATGGGGCATGGCATGCAATTCTTGAAGTGAACGGGACTTCCACCCAGCAAGAAATTGAAATTTTCGAAATAGCTCTCCGCCCTGCTTGTCAATGGACAATTTCTGCATGTGTTTGTGTCTATGTATGCGCGTGTGTGTGCGAGGCTGTGCCCGTGTCTATCTGTTGTATAATGTTTGGGACACACAATGTGTGTGCCTGGGTACGCATCCGAGTACATAGAGTCTGCATGCAGCCACCCTTGGCGTGAGGATGTTTTGCACCTCTGCATGGAGCCACCCTTGCCGCAAGTATGATCCTTATTTATTTGGGATATATGTTCTTTATGTTGCTCACACCAAGATACATAGTCCAAAGAAAGATTTCGAGAGCTTGTCTCATGTGTCGCACCATTCATCTCAGTCAGAAATTAAAACCAAGTCCACATGTGCAAGGGAGCTGCAGTGCCCTGTGCACAATGACAGAAAGCATGACCAGGATAGAATCATTTTTCATTGTCTGATTGTTGTATCTGGGACGCTGGACCTGATTTCCAGCAGGTGCACCTCCCCACCAATAGACTCGAGCTTTTTTTCTTCTTTTTCTTTTCCCTAGCGGGCCACCTGGTTGCTCCAGTCTATTGGTGGGGAGCGGCACCTGCTGGAAAACGGGTCCAGCATCCCACTGAACATCTTCAGAACCTCTTCAGAACTGATTTACACAGTCCCCTGCCAGCATTGATTAACCGTATTACCAGGGATTGACTGCGCAGGCCCTGCCCCACCTGTTTAAAAGATACGGTGCTATGACTACCAAAAGCGACTAGGTAACACGCCTACATTAACCCGTCCCCAGTGTACTCTAAGCTGCTCTGTCCAGCGTCTCGTTGTTCTGTGTCCTTTCGCTTACTCTGCACCGTACCATTGCATGGCTACCAAAGACAGTTGATGGGGAGGGAAAGGGTCCAGGAACTCTGAGGGTGAGTGCAACGGCACTCCTTCGTCCACCTTAGTCCGTTCCTTGAAGCGGATGCAGTAGTCCCTCCTGAAGTCTTCCTGCTCCTGCCCCGGAGATTGTCCACCCTCCCATCGGATGAGGCCATCCAGTCCCTCTTTTTCGCTACCCAGCCAGTCCCCTAAGAATTGATTGATTGCTTGTGTGATGTCTTTCTTTGAGTGATATGTCTGCAGTTGGTTTTTGACCTTCTGCCATCGGGAGAGGAGCTCTTGATTTATATACTGTTTTATTATTTCTGTTACTTCCTCTCCATCTATGCGAACTCCCTCAATGGCGTGTATGCAGCGCTTCCTCCAAAGTGCCCAAATAACCGCTCTCCTCCCGATGTTGAACATGTCGTTTTCAAAATCATTGTCCGTGGAGGAGGTCCATGCTTCACAGAGCAGCGCCCTCCAGTCCCACGGCCAAGCCGATCCAGTACCAGGAAGCTCCATATCCTATCCCACCAATGCCAAGAAAGGACTGCCCCTGGCCATTGTAGGAAAATGTGTTCTATAGTTTCCGGGATCTTACGGGAGGGGAAGGCATTATGGCAGGATTTACACCAGGGGAGCGCCAGACCCTTCTGTTCCAAGTACGTACGGCCGCTCGATCTCGGTTTTGGAGGATCTCATCCACCCGGCACGGACTAGGTTTGTCAAGGGACATAGGGTCCACAATAATATTTTGCTGGTCAACGAGATCCTCGAGTTGACTAGGCAGGACAAGCATAACGCTGCCGTGATCTTCATCGATTTTGAGAAAGCATATGACCACGTGGACTGGACCTTTTTAGATAGATGCATGCAGAAAATGAATATTGGGTCAATCTTTCAACGTTGGACCGAGATCAAGGGTGGATGTGAACTTAGACCAAACACGAGCCGACCTCATACGGGATCCCCTCGAGATCCTTGTGGTCGGCTCAGATGAGAGGTCTGATCCAGCTACTCAGCCTGATCCGTCCGCATACGAGATCCCCTCGAGTCCAGTCTGACCAGTTTCGTGAATGTACAACAAATCAGACAACGAGTGACGACATGCAACAATGGAGAATCGGGAGGTGTATAAGGTGCGAGTGAAGCCACGGACTGTGCGGTAAAAGTATACAAAATGCTTCAGCCAAGATCCCCTCGGCAGCGAGGGCTCTAACCAAAGAGTAAAACTTTGCATCCCAGACAAAAAGAGAATGATCTAACGTCAGATTTGGGCCTACAGGGCCCTTCTTGCTTGGGCCCCGTCCCACGGGGTACCCAAAAGGTCCCACGTAGGCCGTGACCGAGTCCCAACCAAGAAAAGCCCCACATGGACTTACTTTTTGCCTCTACTGAACTGGAAAACGAATTTCAACTTCAAAGAGAACCTACAACCTACATCCATTTAGAGACAAAAAAAATAATTCACTGTAGAAAGATATAGCGTCCAAAGAAAGATACCTCATCTCTTCATCCATCAGGTGAGAAAGCAGTTTGCATGCTCACACACACAATCAAGATCATAGAGGAGTAGGAAAGAAACCCAGAATAACCCAACATGACAATCAATACCATTCACACTCATACATGGGCATCCCGTAGGTGCACGACATTTACCTGAGTGAGGTGAGCTTCGAGATTAATAGAACTCACCCCCTCTCATATGATCCTCCTGACCCATGTAACGCTACCCCTATACTAGTGTCCTATCCCTTAGGAGGGTCTGACTCCAACACCCAAGTGCAACGCCGGATCGCCCGCCGGTGCTGAAGAACAAGTAGCAACTTGCAGTCCGTAGATGCAGAATGGCTGCTTTCCCTCAAGCTCGCCTACTTGAGGGAGGGAAACCCTAAAGTCGCCAAGTGTCTCACTTGAATCAGATTCCAGGTGCAAGTGCCCCTCATTGTAACCTCTCTCAAATTGTCACATGAAGTCTCCACGAAATGTCTCGCCACCCCAAACTTACTCTCAAGCAACCTGGCAGGTGAGATGCTGACCCTGCACGACCCTGCCAGGTGGGGGCAACTTCCCTAGACCACGCTGCCCCACTTTCTAAGTGGTGCCCGCAACCACTTAGGTTAGGGTTAGGGTAGCAAAGTCAACTCTCGCCTGCAAGTAGAATCCGCTCTGATACCAATGTTATGATCCTGGCCAATTTTGAAGTACAAAATTCATGAAAAAGCACAATGCCGTCTAATTGCAAAAGAAATGAATGAACTTGAGAGGAGAGAGAGGGAAAGAAGAAGAAGAAGAAGAAGAAGAAGAAGAAGAAGAAGAACGAGAAGAAAGAAAGAAGAAGAAGATGTACACCAGCAAAGACCAATGAGAATTCCCTTTTTCTCGCCAACCACACTCCTCCTCCTTTTCTCCTCCCTCTTTATTATTCACAATAAGTAATAATAATAATGTTGAATGGCTGAACCAGAATCAATGTCTGAATCCCTCTTGTACTGCAGGTACAACATGAGGTCCATCATAGCCATGGCCACCCTTCTCCTTCCTCTTCCTGAAGGTCGAGGTAAGTACCGGCCCTTCGGGCCTCCTGCACGGACGAGTACCCTTGCGGGTCACACACACACTCAAACCGACAAGCACCCAGTCAGGCACACAGACCAGTAAGCACACACACTCACACAGACTTAGAAAACTCAGCAACAAGCGGGGAAGTCAGCAAGTCATACATTGCATTGACAAAACTCAGAAATCGACCGTGTGTCTCAGTTCGTGTTTGGCAGGTCCTTACAAAACTGTTTAAAGCGTGCCATCGTGCTGGCTTATTACTTGTCAAGGACTAGAGTAGGATGGACATGTGCCATGTAATATGGCATTTGATTGTTTACAGGGACGCTGGACCTGTTTTCCGGCAGGTGATGCTCCCCCCCAATAGATGGAGCCTCCCCGAGCTTGCTAGTGGTGACTGCTCTTATCAGCATCCCTAGCAACTACTTGGGTCGTTGGATTTTTTTATTTTATTTTTTTAAATAAAACAGGACCTTATGACCCCGGCTCCTTTTCCATTCTGGGGAGCATCAGTCCAGTTCCTATTCCACCGGCAAGTCAAAATAATAATACATCATAATTACAGACACACGCTTCCTTCCGTACGGTCGAAGGACTCCTGACCAGCATTGATTACTCCATCCGCATGGAGGATTGACTGTCAGGTTGCCGTGCTATACCCTTTCCTCTCAGGTCTGCTGCACAAAACCTGCCATATAGGTCCCGAAAACCAAGAAAGGATCTTGCCCCTTCAACAACCCTCCTACCCGTCAACATGCCCTGAACCCCCACATTTTCTGACCATGCATATGTATCATTTCCCGTTTTCCTAAATGTCTACCAATCACCCTCCACCCTGTTTCCACTGATTCAGTCCAGCCCTAACCTCGTCCCCTTGAGCAGTTACGAACTGCCTAGGACTGCTGTCTTAAGCTGTTCCGACTGACCAAACCCTTAGACCCTAAAACCCTGAACCATTACCCGATGATTGAGACCCTAAAACCCAAAACCCTCCCTTATTCCTCATCGTTGTACCCCTTTTCTGTTGTACCTCCTCTAGAGACAACCTGATGACTGTGAACCAAGGGTACTTTTTGTGTTCTCCCTTCCTGTTGTAAGGTGTGTAAACCCGTCCATCGTTGATATCGTTGATGTAGGGGGCTATCTGCTCTGTCCTGAGTCAGCTAGTGCATCAGCTCTTGATGCCCTCTCCCTTGTCCGACCTGGATCAGCCTTTGCAGCGTCTGTGACAGGCCTAGGTCACTTCCTCCCAACACCAATCTTAATTCTCCTAGCCTCTCCTCTTGGCTCTCGTTCCTAAAGCCTGGTATCCCTTACCCCCTTCAACTCAGCTGCCTATCTGTTGCAGGCACAGTCTCTGGGCTCTCCGGCCTGTCTCTGAATTGTGCCAGTCTTTCCAGTACACTTGGTTGTTCCGTAGCTCAGCCACCTTACCGTCCACTAACCACAGC